TACTTAGGCGTGTTTGGACCTCACAGTATTGCTGATAAGTAAGACGATGATACGAGTATTTGAATATTTGTACCAGAAAACATTTGTAAAGATAATGTTATAATAACAACCCCTTAGTGAGCTATTGGTATTATCTTCAAAACGATATTAATTTACCCAACACGGGTTTCTTACAACAGCGACAGTCACAAGACAGAAAGTATAACTTACAGTCGAATGCATGTTCCGCGTGTTCGCTTTCGTCTATGGCCACAACGACCGTTCGCTGACCACTGCAGCTTTTCTGGCCATCTGTGGGCTCCGCCATTATGCTATCCTTGACTCGTCTATGAACCAAACTCTTTGCAATCAATGTGTATCTCTCACAGGCGGTGCGTTAGTTTTTCACTGCAAGTAGTCGCCCCTGTTGTTAGATCCAAATTATACACAGGTTCTTTCAGGGCCCACGAAAAAAATATGACTTCTCTAAAGTTTGCTCAAAGTTTTCTTTTTTTTGTCCCCTTATGTTCTGTTCCTCTATTTCACAACATTTAACCGTCGTGCATCACTTTAAGAACACAGGCTTTGGACAATGTGTGGTCCCTTGTGAACCCTTCTTCTCACTGTCGTTCATTAGCTCGCCCACAAGTACATCTGCCATCACAGGTTATACGGCACTTATAAACTATGAAATGTGTGATCTCAGTCCTGGTGATGCTTAGAGGGCTTACACGGGTTCATAACAAGCAGTGGCCGCCAATGAACCTATACACTAACAATATGTATATTAGCTCCGACGCACAGAGCAGACATTCGGCTTACACAAATCTCTTTGTTGGAAAGGTATTTCAGTACCAATAAATTGCACAAACGTACAGAGGGTACGGCGGAATTTTTCGTCAGTTGTGCAACATTTTTTAGTAGGTCATAATACACCAGTACTGCAGACAGATCTAATCTCAATATCAGGTGTGGAACACTTTACATGTATATATATATCAGGTCTAAGGTAATATATCAAACTCTTAAGAGAGTAGATCGTATGCATGAGATAGTAAGCGTGAACATGGTTACATTTTATGCGTATATTTTTTTCTATATTTACCTTCCCTAATTAAAAAAACATCAACAATTTTGTTGCGCATAGTCTTGGAATAGTTTATATTCCGTAAGTACAATCATAGCACGGCAAGTCGTCGCATCGACTATGTCTTTTAAGGTGGCTCGACACATCGTCATCAGCGTCCATTTTCGTGACGTACTTCCGGAAAAAGTACAGCTCGGACTCAATTATCTTGATCGAAATGTGCATGTACACCGTGTCGTCATTTCCGTTTTGCGTATCGGGTATTCAATATCGTAGTGCAAATTATAGTAACACCTGGGCCGTTTGCGTTTAAACGGTCAAACCGATCGGACCACTGTTGTTCGTTTATTAAATAAGGTAGGACCTAGTTATCTGATGCTGCTTTCAGGCGAGC